TCGGGCGTTGGAGTGCGTAAGTGTGTTTGTTTGTTAGTATGTACATGTACATGTATATGTACATGTATACTGTGTGCATTTTGTCTTATTTTTATTGAACATATATTTTGCACGTTACACTCAAATTTTTCAAATTAACCTTTTAAAAACAATGTTATCAAGTATATAATATTAACCGGTCATTACACTCTACGTTGTTTTTGTATTATTATTTGTTGTATCTCTTATTTTGCTTTGTAGTTTTGCACAATTGCTCTTCGCACACGATTCCATTCGACAAAAACAACAACACTAACAGAAAAGGAGTTTGGCGTTGCCAGACTACCTAACTGCCAGTGTAAATTTAACCTGCAAACAACGCAGCATTCAAAATGCCACTAATCCAACAACGTTGAGCATGAATACGTAACTCATTAATGAACCGTGAGAAAGTAAGACAGATAACATGTACTCGGCGCGGGGGGGTCAGTAATATTGTTAATTGAATGAATGTTCGAAGTTGAAAATTGTCTTAAGCACCAAAAATGAAACGAAAAAATTTGCTAATGACCTTTCGGACTAACTAGACAATATATGTATGTTGATATGAGCTATATCCACAAAAGGCCAGACAAAGAAATATATATATGTATACATATACAAATACTAACAAACAGCAGCAGCTGCACAGCTGATTTTCGTATGCATGAATATTTTACGCGAACGAGTGTAATTCACAATGCACCACAGAGAGAGAGAAAAAAAACCAAACACCGAGTCATACCGAAATGTTACTTGAAACGGGTTTTTCAGCATGCTCAAACGAGAGCGAGAGAGAAAGACAGGTCGATTTATTGATTTCAGACGAAAACTTTAGAACAACTTGTATATATCGAATGGATTCAGTATAAGGAAACTTAACTTTATTAATTCTAACGAAATTTTTGCATTCTATAAATATACAAAATATGCTCAGACAGCTGTTACCAGATAACAGTATCGAGCCGCTGCTTTGAGGAAGTGCAGAAAAATAAATTTCCGTGGTGAACGGAGATGAATGCTTCTTTGATCTATTTATAAATTAATTTACTACATATTCCTTTTACGCAGTCTCAATTCATGAAGTTTTCTACAACAAGCTAAATCCGACAAATCAATGAAAGGACAAAACTGAACCAAACTAGAAAAGATTGCCAAATCCCATTTTCAATTATATGGATAAAATAAGTCAAATAAATTGGCAAAGCATAAATAAAATTGTGGTTCTGTGCCCACAAGAGTAAGAAGAAAACTGCAAGCATATTAAAACTCTTATCGCAAGTTGACTCGTTGAAGCGTTATAACTCTGACGTGTGCTTAAGGAATTCGAAATCAGCTTGTTTTTATACTATAATCGGGGAATGGGGTAAACTTTAACTTGCAAACTATGACATGTAGCAAAAACCATTGAAGAGCGACCAATTGTAAAGTTCAGAGTCTATGAAAAACCACCTGTTACACCTGTCTCTCAGTTTTGGCTAGATGTTATATGTGAAACGATCCTAAATACTCAAAGAGAGAGAGAGAGAGGGAGAGAGATAGAGATTCTGCAATTTTCCCTGACCGCGATCGCTACAACACACATACGCACAAAGGTTTCAATTATAGGTGCTAGTGTCTAGCTCAAATACGCAAGAAATCAAAAAAAAAAAAATCGTAGACAATTTTATATGTTTGAAATATTTGACTCACCTCGGAGACAGACTCCTCCTCAGATTCAGAAAGATCTGTGGTGACGGGCTGCGGATAGAACTCAGTATCCGTATCTGTATCCGTTGTTATGATGTTCTGCAATGCCGATGAAATGGCATTCACAATGCCCACCGACGATGACAGTGGCGAGGAGTTGGAGGATGTGGATGATGAGGCGGCGGCTGAACGATTCGCAGCGGCTGCTGCAGCGGCAGCAGCGGCATTCGAAATGGCGCCCACATCCTTCAGCTTTTGCTTGAGCACAGCGACAGCTGTTGCCGCCGAGCTGCTCGTTTGCGGCGGCAGACCGAGGCCAACAGCAGCGCCAGCGTTGCTATCGGCAGCAGCGGCAGCGGCGCCCATTAGCAGAGTTGTTGCTGCGAATTTCAAATGCGCAGAGTCTGTGCTGCTAGCGGGGGCGGCACCTGATCCACCTGATCCTGTTGCTCCAGTCGAAGGCGTGGCATTTTGTTGCTGCTGGTGCTGCTGCTGTTGCATGGCTACCTGCCGCTTGAGGGCTGCGTAAGCAGCTCGAGTTTTTTTCGAGCTGCTTGGCGTGGGTGCGGGTGCGGGCGCGGGCGCAGAGGCAATAGCCGCTCGAAATTTGGCGGCTGCAGCGGCCGCAATGGGTGCGTTCATGGTTGCCGTTTCACTTATTGTTGTGGTTGCTGCTGTTGCTGCTGTTGTTGTTGTGGCGGGCATGGGCGTGGCTGTGGGCGTGGTTGTTGTGGTGCCAGCTGTAACGAATGCGGCCGCAGCCGCATCGCATTGCGCGTTTGTTTTGCTGGCAGCCGTTTTAGACATTTTGTTGTTGTTGTTGTTGTTGGTGTTGTTATTGTAACTGGTAGTACTGTTAGTATTGGCAGTGGCTAACGCGCTGTTGTTGTTGTTGTTGCTGCTGCTGCTGTTAACTTTTAAACTGACACTTGTGTTGTGGCTGCTGCTGCTGCTGGTGCTTTTCTGCTTCAATTGACTCAGCTCAACTGCAGTTGCTGCTGTATTGGTTGTCAGATCCTTAGCAACAACAGTCGGCTCATGCTTGACAGCCTGCTTCTTAGTGCCGTTGTTATTGGTGTTCTTGATGTTGTTCGCAATGAGCGCAGCCGCTATCGAGTGTCGGGCGGCTGCAATCCGCGGACCGGTGTAATTCACCTGTCTGACGTTGTTGTTCTTTGATGCTGCAATTCTTTGTGCAGATGCGCTGTTAGCTTTAATTTGTGTAGTTATAGTTGTTGTTGTTGTTGTTGCTGCTGTTGCTGCTGCTGTTATTGTTGTTGTTGGTTTTGCAGCTGTTGTTGTCTTTGTTTTGTTTTTGTTTAAATACGCAGAGCGCACGTTATTTAAATTCAAGTTCAAGTCATCGCAATCATGATTTTTCGCATCATTATTCATTTTAGTCTCGATTGGGCTTCCTTTAAAATCAATTCACGCGTGCTTGCCGTGTACAAATACGAATTTTTTAACAAAATATTAAATAATAAATTACTTCAAAGAATTTGACATTTTGGGTTTTTTTTTTATTTTTTTTTTTTTTTGCTTTTTGCCATTGACAAAAACGCCAAACACAATTTCGTGTATTTTTTTCGTTTTCTTATACAAAGCGTGCTGCGTTTTTATCGATTTTGTTAAGGAATTGAGCTAGATTATATATGTGCATATATAAAGATACACGCACACACAAAAACACACATGCACATGCACAGGCAGATCGCGACCGTATGGCAACGCTGCGCATTCTTTCACTTCTTCAGCATTGCACACTCATTCGTTCGCCGTTGTACATATGTATGCATGTACATACATACATATATACACTCGTTTTAATTTTCCGTTTGCCTAATTCACGTTTTCGTAGTAACTTGTTAAAAAAAAGGGGGAAAAAACACAGAAAAACAAGGCTAAACACCTATTTAATAAATAAATAATTTAATTTTAGTCCTTTCGCCTGGCTAATCGATGCGCAATTGGTAATTTAAAAGCTGGCACAGCGTGCTTTTACGCTTTATATAATCTCGTCAAGTACACAAAATAAACGATAGATTCTTTCTGCATTTTAGACGATTTATAATTTATATATATATTTAATTGCAGTACTTTATTTATAAAACTTTTTCGAGCATTTTCGACTTCGCCCCAAACGAGCGCAGGCAAAAAATCACTTTACACATTTTACAGCGAACGAAACCGAGCGAACGTCGCGTCAAAGCGAGATAACAATTGCCAACCAGCTTGTCAGTGGCACAACATAGTGTATGCACAAGCGAGAGGACGCTACTAAGTCGAGCGAAACCACAATCACACGCACGCCAAAGTCGAATAGCAGGCGGACGACGACGAAGGCAAATTAAGCAACTAAGGGAAAATTTTTCTTCGCTTCTATTCCGATGCAATTTTTCACCAATTTAACGCTGCGTTTATGTTTGAAAACATGCACAGCGTATGGGGCACATGTTATGCAATACTTTTACAATAGTTTCGCGTATTACCGTTGCAAATTTTTGGCAAATAAATAAATTTTTCAGCAGCTTTAAAATTCACTGTCTGTCATTCAGAGTTTCGGATCGCCATATTATTCCCGGATATTGAATTGAACTAGAACGCAACGGAATAGATGAACCAGTCGGTTCCAATCATTCACGACGTAAATATTGTTACGATACGTAAGGTTTTGGGAAACAATTTACGCAGCAATTTTCAGGAAAAATAATAATACTATACAAATGTACTTTGTAATTATATATAATTTATATCGCATTAGTAAATATCAAATTTCTTGCATTCTGATATGGCAACTCACCACGTTGCAATTGTATAATATTTGATTGCAAATTGTATATTTATAAATTTAATATTTACGATTAATTTTCGCAAAAGAACGTAATAACTAAATAGATAAGAACATATAAATGGATAGCATTATTTAAGTCATAATTAATACATAATCAAGCGAAATTTATGAACAGAATCTTAACATTTTATATAAAAGACTTTTTATTTTATTTAAAATTGTATGTGCAGTATTTTATGTCAACAGCATACTGTCGTTAATTACCTTTTAAATACGATGAATGCCACAAAAGCATAACAGCTATCGAAGAACAGCTAAACCAGTGTGAATGAGCTTACAACCATAAGCTTATTATTGGCTGTTTGACTTTGCTATGGCATAACAATTAAATCATAATTTTAATAAATGCATTTGGTAACAAAAATTTAGTTATTGCTTTTAATTTATTATAATCGTTACATCGTCTGTAAATTGCTAGTGCCGGCGATAGTTGTACATCTCTAACACGTTCATACATATTTTTCCATACGCAAACTACGTGTCCACTTGCGTCTATTTTGTATACTTTAAAAATGCATACTGTTTTAACCAGAGGAAATGCCACTGTTGCCTATTCCTTAAGCGTATTGGCATGCCTTACTTTCTGCTGCTTTATATCTACAGTGTTTCTGGATTATAGAACCGATGCTAAAATAAATACCGTACGGGTGCTAGTGAAAAATGTCCCCGATTACGGTGCATCAAGAGAGAAGCACGATCTCGGATTCGTGACATTCGATTTGGAGACAAATCTAACGAACATTTTTAACTGGAACGTCAAACAATTGTTTCTCTATCTAACGGCCGAATATAAAACTACATCGAATCAGCTGAATCAGGTTGTGCTCTGGGACAAAATTATTTTGCGTGGCGATAATGCAGTTTTGGATTTTAAAAATATGAACACCAAATACTACTTCTGGGATGATGGCAACGGCCTGAAGGATAACAAAAACATAACGCTATCTTTGTCATGGAACATTATACCAAATGCCGGCCTGCTGCCATCGGTGCAATCAACCGGAAAGCATGTATTCAAATTTCCCGCAGAGTACGCGTCATCCATTTAGAATCTTAAAATTTTGATTAGAAACATTCAATACAGTTGTATTTTAATGTACTAAAATAAAATCCTTTATATTAAATACATATATGTATCGATTGTGGGCCTAAATGATTATAAAATGTTGCTAAAAAAGAGAGAAACTTGACAATTTACAAACAAGTCTGGGGTACATTGATACTGATACTGAACGTGAATCTATATATATATATATATAAATGTATACTACTAGAACACATTAAAATTTTACATAAACTCATAGCCGCCATCATCAAAATTACGATTGCCCACCATGGGACCGCCGGCGCCCATCTGATTCGGCTGGCCGCCCATTTGAGGACGAAACTGATTGCCAGTCGTTTGATGCTGCAGCAGCTGCCGCAGGCCGGGATTGTTATTTCCCAGCATGGGACGCACCATGCGCTGCTGTTGCTGCTGCGGCACCTGCTGCTGTTGCTGCTGCAGCTGCTGTTGCAGATTGGGATTCGCAACGGGCACGCCCAGTGGCATGCGTTGCTGCTGCTGTTGTTGCTGCTGCTGCTGCATCATATTCATTTGCATTTGCGGCTGCATCGGTATGCCGCCGGATCCATTGCCGCCAGGAGCGCCGCCCATTTGCATGTTGAGCTGCGCATATTGATTATAATGTGGCTGCTGTTGCTGCGAATTATCCTGCTGCATTTGTTGCTGCTGTTGTTGAATTTCCATGGGCGACTTGCCCTGTTGCTGCTGCTGCAACATTTGCTGCATTTGTTGCTGTGGCGGCATTTGCTGCTGCTGCTGTTGCATGTTGCCGTGCGACTGCTTCTGTTGTATCACCTTGCGCAAACGTTCCACAAACATGGACTGATTGTTGGGTATGAAACCAAGAAAGGCGTTGCGATCGGCCGTATATAACAGGATGAGTACCTTAATATCGCAGGCGGGCGCATTATGCAGCGCCGAGAAGTGCACGCAGCCTGCAAAGCCAGAGGTCATCATTTTAGCCAGCGAATCGAGCGCCTCGCCGGGCGTTGGGCGAAACACGACCATTTTGGAATCTTTGAGAAACTGACCGCCAATGTTGCCCACCAGATGTTTAGGCATTAGCTGCATCAATAGCTTCGGTGGCCAATTGTCAGCCTTGATTTCAGGCTCGCCATCCTTGATATTGGTGCAGACCGTGCACTGCAGTGAATGAGGTATTTTTTGCTGATCGTTTTTAATCTTCTCCGACCATTCGAGCACCCCGGTCCAGATCTTTTCCCGCAGCGATGATTGCTCCTGTGGCTGTTGCTGCTGCTGCTGTTGCTGCTGCTGTTGTTGTTGCTGCTGCTGCTGTTGCTGCTGCTGTAGTTGTTGTTGCTGGGCCTGCTGTTGCTGTTGCGGGGGAGCCTGTTGCTGCAGTGCGGGCACATTAGCAGCACTGGAGACATTAGGCAACATGTTGGCATTGGCATTGGCATTCACCTGTTGCTGTGGATGCTGCTGCTGCTGCTGTTGTTGTTGTTGTTGTTGCTGTTGTTGTGCAAGCTGCTGTTGCAGCTGATTGAAATGCTGCTGATTTAACATTTGCAATCTTTGTTGCTGCTGCTGCTGCTGCAATTGTTGCTGTAGCGAGTTCACCGTTTGATTGGGCGGCGCATTGATTCGTGAAATCAGCGCTGAATTGGGATTCTGGTTTTGCTGCAGCGGCATATTGTTGCCAGCTGTTTGCATGAATGCCGGCCGTTGACCGGGCTGATTTGGATACATCCAGCGATTCTGGCCGGGCACAACATTTTGCTGAAAGTTTGCATTCTGCATTTGATTTGGCACAAATTGTTGTTGTTGCTGCTGCTGCTGCTGTTGTTGTTGTTGCTGCTGTTGTTGCTGTTGCAGCATTTGCTGTTGTTGCTGTGCATTCATGAGGCCTGTTTGTGTGCCAGCGCCAGACTGCTGTGCCTGCTGTTGCTGTTGTATAGAGTTCATGTTCATGACCTGCTGCTGCTGCTGTGGTGCACCACCTGGCTGCTGCTGCACTGGAGTCGTGTCCATGGGCATGTTTTGAACCTGAGAAGACTGCTGGCCATTTGGATTATTGTTCATTGCCTGCACGGATGATACTTGTTGTTGGGGTGCGCCCATTTGATGCTGTGCAGCCGTTGTGCCCGCCACGGCCATGCTGTTCGGACTGGGCGCACGCTCCTTCAGGCTGTAGCCCTTAAGCAGCACCAAATGGCGAATATTCTTGGCATAGTTTTTGGTCGTTATGGGCTGATCGCCGTCGGCCTTCATGAACAGCTTGAAAAGCACCGGCATTTTGCGCGGCGCAATGATGGATAAATTAATTTTTCGTTCATTGAATAGTGCCGCCAGCTGTTCGCAGGATTTTCCCTTGTATTTCCAGGATTCGTTTACGGACATCTGATACGGTGGACTGTTGCATATCAGTATGCAATGGCGCTGCAGATTCGCCTGTTCCAGTATGTGGCGCTGCTCGTTGATCTCATCGAAGCATCCATGAGCAGCAGCAAAACCCTCGGCCATGTGTGCATGCGACTCCATGCCGCCACCGACCAAGGGCAGACGCTCAATTGTCTCGATTACTTTTTGTGGCTGAACAAAGGGGCCATAAGTGGTACAAACGGGCTCCAGGAGATTCGAGGCGGTGCGGTATGTGACAATGCCGTAGAGCGTTGCATATCGTTCGGCAATTAGGAATTCGCGTTCATCAATGGAGCCTTGTGTAAAGTGCTCCAGGGTGGGAAGAACGTAGTTTGTTTTCAGCTCGTTTAGGTAGGCTCCATTGATAGCACTGTTTTCTATAACGAACACCACATCGGCCAACGTCAGCTGATCCACTTCCATTTTGCTTTCGCGACCAAAAAGCGGCTATTTGGGTGAAATTAAAAAACGTTTACTACGGATTTAGCTTTCCTCTTAGCCCATATCGACACTTTTTGTTCATCTATCGATAGGTTTGCCATACTTGGTACGTGTGTTTAGTTAGTGATGTGCGTCAAATTGGGGACCATGTTCTTGAGCTCTAATATCTTATCTCAGGGACAATGGCAGTCAATGCACGATATAGCATTTTGTAGGTACAAGTTTTTAGAAGATATATGCATATATTTTAAGCAGATGGTTAGTACTGTATTTGAGAAAAATATTTAATTGTAAACGAACCTCATAAAGTTGATTCATAAGGTCTATCGAATTGCTAGCTCTTACGCGAACTGAACCACTGTTTGGATTCAGTGTTGAACAATGTTATACAGTTTGCGCGGGTTCAAACCAATTTGAATTATATGTATTCATGAAAAAAAAAACTAAACGGCCATTAATTCATGTCACTCATATGGCAAACAATAAAAAGAGTTCCTTAATATTGTTTTTCAAAAAGAAGGTGGCAATTTTTGATAATATATGCAAATATATTTATTTGTTTTCACCAATAATACCGCAAACCGCATGGCAGCTGTGCATATAGAGCTGAATTTATTTATTATTTTGTTTAATATTTTATTAAATTCAGCGGTACAGTTATTGAGAAAAAATCATTTTTCTCTTACTTGCTCGCAATATTTATAACGGTGTTTAACAAAAATGATTGCCAATTTTCGAGCTGAGCCATGTAAATGTAAAGACAGTAAAGAATGCGTGGGATGTATTTGACCACTTCATCAAAATGTCTTAACATCCATTAAACAAGAAGAGGATTGATTAACCAGCCACAGCCAAAAGTATGTAGGCAGCAAAAGCTTTTGAGGGCTCAGCGGGCACAAATTAAGAATGGGGCCGCAGTTTTAGCTCCTAACGGATGAGGTGATAAAATTAAAGGTGAGACAGCTGGCGCAGATTCCAAATTGATGTCCAAAGATCTAGTCGAAAAATTATTTGAGTCGTGTTTCACACTTTTAGCTAAATCCAAGCATCCTCGGTAGAAATGATTGAATCCAGTTCCAGCTCCGGGAACTAGTTCCCTTAAATCGTTCAGCAGTGAATCAGTTATCGCATTAGTTATCGATTTTTATTAAAAACAAGCCAATTCAACTCTTAGTTTTGCCTGGTTGTTAACGAGGGAATAAAAAGTATAAATTGTAATTTATATTATTTGAGATAATTTATGTACATATTGTAAGCGAGGCGATATGTCCGATGAAAGCGATTCAATTGGTGACAACGAAATCGATCCAATGGAGAACCAAAACATAATACCCCTCTTACCAAGCTACAAGCGTCAGAGCTACGTTTGGGGTTTCTTTAGTCCAGTGCCTGATCATTCGGACGTATTTAGATGTAAGGTGTGCAGCGAAACCTTTGGCAACCGTACACCCATTCTAAGCCGACATTTACAAACAGCGCACGGCATCACGGAGGTGATAAATCACTTAATGATCTAGTCCATTTATTTAATTACGTTCTATTCTGGTTGGAAAGCAGCATCAAGAGGATGCCGTCAAAAAGGGTCGACCCAATCGCAGTTTCGTTTGGAACTTTTGCACCAAGCTGGATGATAAGCGCGCCCTATGTCATATATGCAAAAAAGTGTTGTATTTCGGTGGCGGCAACACCTCTAACATAACAAAACATTTGAGACGCATGCATGCCGAAAAACTGGAGGAGGTGGTAAGCATTCAGAAGCATAACCAAAAGATTATTTTTCTAAAAAATTGTATGGTTTGTAGGCAAAGCATATGCCTCGCAATGTGCGTTGGGCCATGGAACAGTCGGTCAAAAAGGAGCGCAGGGGTTCGAGCTATGTGTGGAATTACTGTGAAAAATTGACCAAAAACACGGTGCTCTGCAAGTTATGTAATCGACGTATGCGATTCCATGGCACGGCTAATGTTATAACGCACTTGCAACGTCGACATGACATAATGGATGAAACGACGCCGGTGAAGATCGAAGCGCCCGATAAGGTTCAGGAGGCGGCCACATCCAGTACGAATGAGAATCCCATGTTGCGCACCTGCCGCAGGACCAGTCTCAGCGGCAGCCTGGTTTGGAGATACATCACACGCATTTCGGATGATACCGTGCGCTGTCGAGTTTGCCTCAAGAACTTATCATATCAAGGCACTAGCAATCTGCAGCGGCATCTGCATCGTATGCACAACATTGCGTGGAGCGGACAAGAGCCGATTGGATTGATCAAAGTGGAAGGATATCAATCGGATGACAATTCATTTTTCTCCTTCTGCGAAACCACCAGCGATCCCAATGTCTGGAAATGTCAGATGTGTGACGAGCACTTTGAGCACAATGAGAACCTCGAGGAGATCATAAGCAAGCATATGATTAAGATTCACAGCGCTGCAATGCGCGGAGAGGCGACTGAAGTACGTTAGAAACCACTTGTTATACCTCTGTCAACAGCTATGTTCGTTTGTCTGTTTCCAGTCAAATTCAGCTTCTATCATAAACTTATAATTTACCAATTCTTTTTTTCTGCTTAGGAGTACGACGATGATGAAGAGGAGTTTGCCGCCATCTATACCGAAGTTGTTGCTGAAGATAGCAATGCGGCAGCCGCTGCTGTTAGTGCGGGAGATGTTAGCGAGCAAGCGGAACTAACAAGCGCCCTTGCTGAGGATGCGCTTTATGATGACCTAATCGAAATCGAGGAAGATGTGCACCACGTTGCTGAGGTTGGCGAACATTTAATTGAAAATAGCTTTCAAGCAGATGCATTGTTTGCGCAGTCCGGCGAAAATGTTGTTTCGGATTATAGCAATGATAGCACCGACGCTCAGCTAGTGACCACAACCATACAGGCTGATGATACACCGCTAATGCGAGAGCTGAAGGAGGATTTGTTACGTCAGCAGGCAATGTATTTCAGTGAAAAGGCCGGTTTCTATCGTATGCAAAAGTTTCTCGTGGCGCAACAGGTGCGTAAAGAGCGATTGGAAATTGAGAAGCTTAAGGCCGGCCAGGAGCAACGGTATCCAGATAGCTAATATCTCAACCAGATCCTTCCACACGATCCTACTTATGCAAATTTAAGCATCTTTCTTTTAATCGTTAAGTGTAATGTAATTGTAATTCAAGTTGTTACATAGACCGCCATCTACTATCATTATTGTTTAATCATAAATAACAAAATAATTGTGTATGCATGCTTTTTAGTTGCCTTCAACAACATTCATGTCAAGTAAAAGCTTCTTGGTCTGCAGATCAATTAATCGCCGCTTGGCTCTGGCCAGCTCGGCCATTTCATTGTAATATATTGTTTCCGCTTTTAGCTTCTCGTCCAGTTGGGTCGTTGTCTCGCCCAGTGAATTTGTGTCGTTTTGGTGATCCATCGAATGGGCCATATTCGATGGTTCCTCATCACAATGTCGGGATACCATCACGTCCGAATTGTCCACAACGTATTCGTAGAAGGGTCCCTGAAGTGAAACCGATGTAAACTAATATCAACATTTGCATTTGCCTTCGCAGCGTATTCGAGCATATGTTTTGCCTATGCCTACCTCATCTTCCATGTGATCCGTGACCTTCTCAATGATGCTATCCACATCGTCAAAGTCGACCTTTTCCAATGGATCCAACTGCCTACGCTCCTCAGCTTGCATTATCTCCTTTTTGGGTGATATCAGGCTGTGTTGCGAGTAGCTAAGGTTTTTGGATAAATTATGATGACGCCGGATAATGTGCCGCATCAAATTGGACGACGAGTGTTTCGAGGATAATGTTTTGCTGCAGTGTTTGCATTTGGCCATAAACTCGGATATGCGCACAAAGTGCGCCCACAGCTTATTATTTTTGCCAATCACTTTATTGCGTTCGGCATGATGATGTTGCTCCTGGCGCACCTGGTTGTCAATGATGGTGCGCACCGCCGTTTTTGTTTCCCGCTCTCCCAGATTGGCCTCCATGTGTACATCTGGTTCCGGATCTGGTGCATTCAATTCCTCCCTTAGCTCCGCTAGCATTTTACCCTCGTCACCGGCAAATATTGCTCGCGCCAACTGTTTGTGGTTCCTGATTAAGTGGCGCGTCAAATTGGAAGAAGTGTGTTTGGATGAGAGGGTCTTGTCGCAGTGCTTACATTGCACAATATATTCGGTTAGCCGGTGAAAATGTGACAGCGCTTTGGCATTTCGGCCAACCATGATTACATTGGATGTTTGTTATTTTGATTATTTCTCATACGCGCACAATCAACACAATTATGTTGCTCCGAGTTGGCTTGGGTTAAATTTTTCTAGTTCATGTACAGTAGGGATGTCAGAAGTTCAGCGACTTATCGATTATTTCCAAATATCGAACGAATGTTGAAGTGTGCTGTAGCTGGTTCGTATTAAAAAAAACTAGTGAATGCATGAATTAATGTTGTATCGATTACGTAAACTGAACAGTTTTTAGCTCAAAATGCATCTCTGCAAAAAGTGCTGCCCATCGCTGTCAGTCGATAACCTAAAAATTTTTTGACACGAGGTTGTGCGTGTCTTTTCCTTTCTTTCTCGCTTTTTACTCGAACATGGGTGAGTCGTCGGCTAGTGCAAATTGTGTTAAAATATCAAGAAAATCGACTGTGAAATGCATAAAAACAACATAAATGTGTGCAGAATACGTGCCAGCTAACAGTGCACATGTGCAGCATAGAACGAAAATGATATTTAGCTAACATTTGTGCATTTAAAGTTTGTGCAGCAGGCAGCACCGCGTGTTGAGGTTTTCTTGATATTTCAACGGGGTTCGCAATGAATTCCGAATTTTTTAATTGTGTGCATTTCCTTTTGCATAATTCAAGGTATTAGCCGTGATAGTGCACACAAGCGTCGCGCCACTGGTGGCAAGCGCAAGTCGCTCCGCAAGAAGCGCAAGTTCGAGTTGGGTCGTCCCGCTGCCAACACCAAGGTGAGTTTTCTGCCTGTCCGCGCGCCCGCCGCCATTGCTGTTTTTACACACAAAATTATCATAAAATGATGTTAACGCGTGTCAACTGTAAACGCACTCGACTTGT